CGAAGCCGACGTCTCTCCGCGGCATCCCCTGCGGAAAACCTGGCAGGGCTAAACCCCCACCGACTACGATCCCGACCACTACGTCCGCATAGTACGTCGACCCACAAGCCCAGCCATCTACCCCTACGCGACCGACCCATACTCCAGCCACGGCTCGACTCGACTGGTCGGCATCAATGAAAATGACGTCACGGCAAAAAGCCCACGTTTAATTATCAACGCTACGCCTGCCGGTGTACACTGTACACACTTATCGTAAGGGTGGGGCTAAAGCTTACCAGACGAGCGTTTCTGTCGCGGTGAAGACGCTCGTAACTCACCACCCTCGTTTCTTTCCTTTTTCTTTCCTCTTTTTTTCTTTCCCTTTGTTTCGTTCGTTCGGCGACGTTCCCAGACGCGTAAATAGAGGACAATGAGTGCAAACGGATCGTGAAAGTTTATTCGAGCTGCAGAATTGAATCGCGATGAACGCTTCGCTCCGTCAATCGATTCAGCTACCAACCAGCGTGTTAGTCCGTAGCTAGGTTTTTGGGAAACTTGGTGAATCGTCACTGATGCGTTACTCTGAGAAGGTTATACGCTCGAACCTCTATAAAGGCTGCAAATTCCTTTACGCTCCGCTGCGAATATCTCTGTTAATCCCGACACAACCTACTTTAACTCCAATTATTTGCCACGTGTCCAAACGCGTCGCTTCGTCTCCGTAACCCGAATATGGACTTTTACAACTCGAACTTTTACCTTTCGACTTTAATCTCGATCCCCAGATTAGCAAATTTCTAAATTCCAAATTCTCGTCTTCGTACGTAACCAAATTCCAAGGGATCGGAAATTTTCAAGTCCATCCTATACTAGGAAAGTTAAATTTGTTTCCCACTGTACGGCAAGTTCACCGGTACCGCGTTCGGTTGCTCGTCCCGAGATATTTGCAAGCCTCTGTGTCTCGTCTGCTCGGTCGCTAGCGGCGAAATATAGCAAAGTTTCCGTCTACTTCCCAAATAAGATTCGGACTCCAAATTCCTTTCGATACGATGCGAATGACGACTATACGTTCGCGATGCATCAACGGAAACGACCGTTTGAAAAGGATCAAGATAATCGTGGCACGTGGACAAACGAGACCTTTCGATCGCAACGACCGCAACGTCGACGAAACCACGCCACGGAAACCGCGAAGGCGTTCCTATAAACTCTGCCTCCTAATTCGGCTATCCTTTCGATTTCGTTCGTAGGATGTCGTCATCCTGTCTCCTTGGTAGCGTCAAGGCTGAACGGGTACCACGTAGAAAAGACGACAGTTATACTCACTGAAATCGATGAGCAGTCGACCGTATCCTTGTCGTTGATAAGGAGGCAACGTCAGAATGCAGGATACGTTGTAATTGAGGAAAGAATTCTTTTCCTGGAACAAAATGTCAGTGGATTCCAATTAGTTGGAAACGCGACAAATGTGTGAACGGGGACGAAACTGTATCGCGAATTTAGTTTTCGCGTTTTATTGCCTTCGAGATATCGTTACGAGAGCAGGAAATTGTCGGTAACGTATAATCTCGCACCTAAGCTTTATGAGCGGTTACCTTCGATATCGAGGCAATTAAAATTGCCGGTATTAGTAAAATAGGACGACAATGCCAAGCGAGAAATTTATTTAGCGAAATTTCGTCATCGACCAAGATATAACGCGTTGCGATACAACGCACAGGGATACAGCGCGCGATAAAGTAGGCGAATTAATTCCCTTTTTTTAGGCGCGTTACCAGGTTGTTCCTGATCGAGAAACGATTCAAGAGGTTATAGGAAACCGAGCCTCTCGATTCGACTCCGCGCAAACGGGTAGAACAATCTGCATTTCAAAGGTCGAAACACAGACGTGTTTATGTGGAAAAACAGAATAATATTTTCGTTCGTCGCGGCGGTTAGCACACTCGACACGCTCCGCCCATGCGGCTGACTGCATGTGCATGCACCAGACACAATCGCGAGTGTATTGTGACGTTAATGCGACGAAAATGCGTCGCGACCTTCATCGTGGAACACAGACACAATGGGTTATCGATATTTTGGCTGGCCAGACAATTCGTCCTAGTAATACGTTTTATTAAACGTCTCCCCTTGCCCTCTCTCCTGGCTCCTCTGACGTCTGTCCTCCATCGAAGGGCGGTCAATCGAGCAAAAAACACCTGCATTTACATTTTACAAGTGCATCGATGTGCTCGGGACAAAGATCGTACAATCATCGTACAAAGTACAGCAACATTCTCTACTTTGTCAATAGTTTGACATTATTTTATAACAGGTCCATAATATATATCGATCGGAAGCAACGTTTTTGGAACGCCTTGTATAATTATTCCAGGCGAATAAATGTCGACCGTTCGAATGAATTCGTAGGATGGTGGCGATGATTCTTAACGCATCCAAAGTCTCCATTTAAATATAGAGTCTCCTCGGTCACGAATGAACGGGTCAATTTTTGCGACAAACGTATTTTTACCAAGTGACATCGGGTGGGCGTACACACCCACGTTGTACACGCGTTATGTGTATCGCACGGTTTCAAAGATTAGATAAATTTCGCGTGAAATTACATCTGTACGAAATCCACCGACGTATATGTGCTTTCCACGAAATTCGTCGAGTACGAAACCGATCGAGACCCGTGACAAATTCTCTCTTTTCATTTTTCAGTTTTTTCCACGGAACGTGTATACGATGAACATCGATTCGATATAACGGAGAGAGAGCTCGAGAACGCTCGAAATCTGGCCTTCGCTGACGATTTAATTTTCCTGCAACTTTGTGCCATGGAAAATAACGGGCCAAAAAGCTGGAGAGCGTTATAGTCGAAATAGTTTGATGCAAAAGTATCGTTGGATGCCAGTCCTCGTATCGGAGTGACTGATGGGCTAAGTAATTACTTTGCACATACAGGATGTTCCAAAAATAAATGACGAGTTCGGGATTTTCGAATTTTCGAGCATGGGAAAAGTATCTCCTTTTCTCAAAGGAAATTTCACTCCGATCGTAAACGATCTTAAGATCCGATGTTTATAACAAATTAATTTGAAGCGTTACGTTAATTTGTAAAGAGAAAAATGATTAAGAAAGCAGGTTCCTTTTAGCCTTCCGAGTAGTCTCCCCTTAACTTATACGATTTCTTCGAATAATTTTCCTTACTCGGTATATCTGCGCTTCCGTTTCTATTTTATCGTCGGTCTACATCGAGGTTGTTTCCCGTTGCTAGGCGTCGATCCCTTCGAGGCTGACTAGCGTAGAATCCTTCATTAATCATCGTACGTCCCTCGGACCCATTTCGAGGGATCCGGTACATCTCGAACACCCGGTATTTCCGGCCATAGCAGCCGTGCTGCTGTTGCTAACTGGCGAGTGGGGCAGCAACGGTTCGAAGGACACACAACTCGAGAAGATTCGTCCGTACACTTGTGTGGACCCCTCGTGTGCACGAGCGTGTACGTGTACGTTGAACGTAAGACGAAGAAGGGGAACAGTGTCGAAGAGAGAGAGCAAGAGGGTCCCAGAGAAAGAGAGAGGGGCACGAGTGAAAGCGTGGAAAGGAGAAGAAAGGTCTGGGACCCTATGAACGAGTCTCGTAGATATCCATCTCGATAGACCCACCGACCATCGAGCCGGGCAACTGTTAACCCTTTTGCGAGCATTCTTCCTTTTTCTTTCGCAGCCGATCCCGAGAGAGGCCTTTTTTCGCACGAATTCGAAGGTTATCCGATTTTGATACCCTGTACGAACAATGTGTCTTAGGTAGGAGCCTAAGGACACGCGCATTCGAGTCACGAGTACGTGCTACCGGTTGTCAAAGTGTTAAGTAAATAGGTTCGATTTTTTGCTTGACCATGTAACGAAAGGATCAATCTTTCATGGCTCATTCTTCATATTTGAAATTGTTCATAAGATCTGAATATCGCTATAAAAAGATCAATTCCGAAGTTAGCTTTTTACTCCGAACTTCGCAATACCGCAGTTTGCAAAAGCCTCATTACGATACCAGATGTACCGCTTTAAAGCGAAAGCGGATCGAAATTGGATCCGATATACGGAATGGATGACAAAGGAACAAAAAGCAAAGACAAAATATGGTCAGAATCGCGCATTCGATGAACTTTAACGGAGAATCGAAGAAGCGATTCGTGGCGAGTGGGCAGAGACAGGAGGAGAAAAGAAGAGGGAAGGAGAGAGAGGGAAAAGGAGAAGAGGAGAGGAGAGGAGAATCTGGGCCCCGCGACGTCCTTGGGCCAGTAGTCTCTGCTCCGCTCAGGGACGTCTCCGAGTTCCCGTCGTGCTCGTTCGCCGCAAGAAAGGCCCTTATACATCGTTTACCCTCCTTTTTCCCTCTTTTCGTCGTTTCGTCGTTTCGTCACACTCCTTCTTTCGCGAGGACGGAACGATTCGCAAAATTTACCGGCGACGAACGGTGACTCATCCGACGGAAAACCGACTGAAATCAAACGTTTTTAATCTACTTATACTCGAACATTTCGATATAAGGCATTTTTGCACGGCACACGCTGGCTCTGACGTATCTGCGGATTCTTCGGCTTCTCGACGTTCGAGAATCCTTCCACGTCTGACTTCGCTCTTTATCTTTATTTATTCTCTTCTTTCTTGAACAATTCTTTGAATGCGCGCGTCTATAGCGATTTCTCAATGTTTGTTGGAAGACTCGATGCCGACCGATTAAATATTAACCTACACTTCGATTAAGTTCGCTATTTGTGCGACTGAATTTGTCAGGATTTTTCAGATACAAAGAAAAAAATCAATAGAGTACTTCTTTTTTGTTACCTATCCTATTCTACGCTAAGGGCCTCTCAAGGTTTTTTGCTCCGTATAAAAATGAACTCGTCGATGATAAGATTTACGCGGAAAGTCGCGTCGTTCGCGAACTCGCTATCGATCGTGGCCACAGAAAGAAGGACCATGGCACGGCGTCGATCGTAAAAGGTTTCCAATCGGTCAGTATACTTTTCTGCGTATCGTCGTGCCATAAAGTGCGAGCGAGCACACGTGCGACGATAGAGGCATCGGAACGCGCGAGCGACCAGTCAACCAGGCATCCGTTCTATACAGGATGTTTCAAAAAACGTCTATGTACACTGGCAAATTCATTAACAAATACAAATATTACAATATACTTTCATTTCTTTCCCAGTATGGAATTAGCAGTCCGTTTAAAAGACTGACAGTCACCTTCCATTCTCGAAAAATAACATACATATTATTTTGCATTGCTGCACAAATATTGTCCATATTACCGTGAACACCTGTACGTTATAAATCAAGTAATATTTCAAGAACGTGTCACTTCAGAATTCAAGTGATTAATCGATGATCAAGAAACCCGATTTAAGAATGTAATTGGTAAACATCAAATTCATCGTAATTGTATGTCACATGCGAGTCTAAGCCTCCGATCGATGATCGTAAATATTCGAATTCAAATGTACGGTAGAAAAATAATGGGCAGTTTTGTAAAGTGCATCTTGTTTGAGACACCCTCTATATATCTGCTTCGTTCCTTGCGCGCTCATAAACACGTCGCACAGGCGAGACGTCGGCGTGCAAGGAACACGCGCGTAGGTGAACGAACGAACGTATACGTGGTGGAATAAGGCGAATCAACTAATAATTCTCTCTTTCGAGTGATTCGATACGCTCTTGTTGCAATTTTCTATTCTGCAACGCTGCCATACGTTTTTAATCGCGAATCGTTTGCGTGTAAATAAAATTGGATTTTCATTTCAGATTCTTTCTGCTTGCACGTTCGAATCGCGACGAACTGCAAAAGGGAAAGAAACGAATATAATTTAGGAGATAATCTAATCTTTGTTCGTATTGCTTATTAAATTATACGGTAATGAAGTTCTATCGAGACACTCTCTAGAGATAGTTGACTGTGACGATAAAATAAATATAAATTGCTATTCCACTCGTCAACTGAATATAATTGTTTAATCGATATTTTTGTACGCATCAATCTTTCAATTAATACGTAGGTGGTACGTTTGTTAAGTTCACTTTTGAAAAACAATTTAACCTCTATCGATTGCGAGTACGTTCACTGGACTTTTATTTTATTTTTTATTATAACGAATATCTGAAAAAGCGATTGTTCTAAAAATTCATCCTATAAAATAAAATAATTGCCGAACGTTGATTGTAGCTTCAGTTTAGATTAGGGATAAATCAATCGGTTAAGAGAGAACTGTTTTTATTAATTTTTTAACGTAAAAAATGTTGCTGCGTTTCGCAAATTTCTGGATCATTTACGAGACTCACGATGTGAGCGTCGCTTAAAGGTTATACAGCTCCTCGCGACGGTCACTTCTATATTTAGATGCACCGAGTTTCCTCCTCCACTTTCTTTAT